AACTACCCCTTTATTATAACAATTAAACATGTGTTCATATCCAGCAGGTGTTAGTTGACTAGAGATCTCAAACAGTGGGTGCTTTTCAGGTTCATTAGAGATAATTGCTTCGTAAAGTGTATTTACTAGCTTCCATAATGCCTCTTTATGATTATTCTTTGCACACACGGTTTTACTTAAACAGATGTCAGTTACGTATTCTGCATACAATGCCATCAATCGATCTCTTTTGTTTTGGGCTGCTTTAATTACTAATTTTAAGTTGTTTATGTCGAATGGATGTCCAGTCATATTTTGTTTGACGAATTTTACGCCAAAATACTCAAGTGCTTTATCATATCCAAAGAAATTTTCATCTGCAGTAAGATTTATAGATCCAACCGCTTGAAGCTTTGCTTTTAGTATTGGGTTTGTTTCTATTGTCATTAAGAAACATGGTACTGATTCTGCATATTTACTTTTTCCAGTGATGGAAAATAGCGGAGCAAAAGCTTTCAAATGTTCATGTTGAACTTCGAAATTACACATTCAAATGCCAATTTTATGAAGCTTAAGCCAACTTGCCTATTGATAATATAGGTACCAAACTTTCAAAACATTATTATTTTCATTCTTGATATCTTCTAGTGTTATGCTATGGTTGTCCACATATATATGAATAACAATAGCTACAGCTGCCCAGATAAGCTCAAGAACGTGAAATGTTGCTCGGTAATCAACAACATCCTGAAGCTTTTCTAAGAATTTCGTGCCAAGTGTAAATGCTAATCCAAATAATCTATAATCAGAAAAAGCGACGATTAAAGCACTACATATATCTTTGCTCATATGCTACTGACCAAGGATAGGATTTAGTTTTAATTGATTATTGGAATAATTTGTAAGTCTGCGAAAGATAGCTTCATCATATACAATATCTAATGAGTCTTCTTGATTCAAATTTAGATCTTCTATATATATTTCGCAAGTTCTATGAACTGCAAGATTGCTATTTGGAGCAGGTTCAGCTTCTAAAATGACGACATTTGGTGGAGGAGTCTTGCATTTGCTTCCCACTGCTTCTTTGAGTGCAATGTTTATTTCATCCATAGTAAACTCCATCAGATATTCTGCCATTAACCATCTAAAGATTTGAGTAAGATTTTTTATCCACTTTTCTACAAATAGATTTTTTCCACACAGTTCAACATCACTAGCTAATGGTGCTATATTAATATTAGGTATTTCAAACTGGAACACTATATGTAGAGTTGCATAGACTGTATCCTGTGTATCGTCATACAGATTTCCGGCTCTGAATGTTTTTTCTTTAAAGTCGATATTGTCTATTATAGCCAAGTTCCAAATATTTGGACCTGACTTTAGTTTTTTTTGTGCATTTGCTTCTTTTATTCATTGTTTTCTAACTTTCACTTCGTAATCTTTAGAATATGCTACTATATTTGCTGTATGAAGAACACCATGCAAGTATATCGTAAGCTTTGGTCGTTCACAGAAAGATCCAATTACTTGTAGAAGCCAAAATTTCCAGCCTTTAAATGTGGTTGTTAAAATTATAGAAGACAAGAATGCTGTGCTTTTCACTATTTTGCTTTCGTCAAATTCAGTTATAGTGCTTTTGCGTTCTTTTTGTTTTTGTCTAACAATTTCATATTTTTGAAATAGCAAAGTATGAATTAAACTATCAAAAAGGCTTGTTA